CTCTGTCACATGGTCTGTGGCCCAGCCCTAGATGGTGTGATAGAGGTCACAGAGACCATGCTTTTCAGAGGCAATAAACGTAGCTGGTCCCAATTTAAATGAAAATAACCTCTAATGGGCTGTAACACCACAACCACCCAGAGTGGGAACTGACTGTGGTCCCTGACGAAGTGCAACCTAAAGGGCCTGCACAAAGCTGGCAGAAGGATCCGAGTACCACTGTTTTGAGGTCTCTGAACTATAGGGGACATCCCATAGGCAAAGCTGGGAACCACAGAAAGTCAACAGGTACAGGGCAGGAGGAGACAAGTACTCCTGCCTTTAACTCTTCCTCAATATTCCACAAGTTTGTGTCTGGCTCTACAATCAGATTTTCAAAGTCCACATGAACAATTTCAGTTTTTGAGAACTTGGTTTCTTCAGGGCTTCAGGGAAGATCCTCGGTCTATGATACTCAGCAATACGTGTAAATTTAATGTCACAGGTGAAGCCCAACAAAGGAAAGACTATGGCTCTGAAGCAGCTATTGAAAATTACTACTATGTAGTTTTATGGCAAACCAGTTCATTAGCATTTAAATTGATTCTTAAATATTTTCCTAGAAATGCACAGAAATGTAAGCCTTAAATCCAGACTGGTAAAGTTGCAATTTTTATGCCTAATTTTAGATTTAATTTTTAGTCCAATAGATTGCAATTATATGGCCATGCAATTTCACAGAGCTGCTTTAAAATGCACAGATTTGTGTTTTGACTTTAATGAGTACAAGAAAACAAGAAAGGAAGTAGGCCTTATCCTATGTCCCTACGTAAAACTGATGGCAAATCCTGATATTCTTGGGTTTGGACATAAGCCCTCTCATGCATTCTAGTTACATGGCTTGCAAGTTAAAAGCCTAGACAGAAGATATATCTTTTAAACTGTGTACAGGATACAAAATATAAATCCAAAGGACCTGGACAACCCTGTAAATTGAATGGCATAGGTGTCAACCAGTGAATACCTATATTCATAGATGCACAGAATTATTAAGGTTGGAAAAGCCCTCCAAGATCATCAAGTCCAACCTTTGACCGAACACCACCACATCAACTAAACCATACTGCTCTGAAGTTGGTTCAAAATACAAGTGAAAAGGCTTGAGTGGCCTCCATCCAGCCTCTGTCTGCACATGATGGGGTTCAGCCATGATGCTCTCTGTTTGACAGCACCTGCCCCACCAGTGACTCCACCTGGAGAGGAGCTGTGGCTTGCAGGGGGAAAGTCACACTCACAATGTGCTCGCATCAGTACTGTGTGGACATAAGCAATGGGCCTGTGTACCTCAGGCCATTAGTTTCTCTGCTAAATTTCACCACCCACTCTTGAAGCATTAAAAAAGTATTTCCTATGGGTACAAAAAGGCAAAACTCAGCATATGCCAAACTTGTGTGGCTTTTCAGTGACCTCTGTGATTGGGAGCATTTTTTCTTTACATTTATTTGATCCTGGTAGTTAATGTCACCCCAGGTCAATCCTTAAGAGTTTTGCAATTTTGAGAGGTGTAATTTATCCAGATGTGGTTTCCATGGCTGAGAACTCTGCTGCCACTTACCTCAATCATGACTGAAACGTGAAAATCTTCAGAGACTTACAACTTAAAAAATGGACACTTTAGCAATATTGCTCATCTGCTTGAATCTGTATTGTAATTAGCTTGAGGAAGATACAGAGGCTGCTTTTTCAGGTGTGAGCTACTACAAGACCCTGGGGGAAAAGAAAGAAACTGCTGAAGGGAAGGATGCGCTTATGCTATTACAGCCGCAGAAGACTGACTTCACTCAGTCCTGCTCTGTTGAAAGTGCTGCTAGTACTGAACATGAAATACCCCTTCTCAGGCTTCTCTGGGAGCTCTGAGGTGGGAACTATTTTAGATGATGAAGTACCACAACACTGACAGTCACAAATCTTTGGTATTGCATTAAAAATGAAAAAAAGATGCTTGAAAACATCCTTGTTGAGTATTATTGAAGATACCTGATTATGTTGTGAGGAAGGTTAGGTCAAGCTCTATATGTTTCTTTTCCATGTAACAAGCATCACAGGGAAGCTAAGGGTAGAGAGAAATTACTGTCACAGAATTTTATTTTGCTGAACTAAATCTTCAGTACAAAGAGTCTGACTGCAGTCTCTCTTTAACAATAAAAGTTTGATTATGAACTGAATGTCACTGGTTCAGCAGAGTGCATTTCACTAAGTGCTAAGTTCACTTCCTTGCCAGGAACATATATCTGTTCATTAAAACATCAGGCTACTTACTCTGGATTTTGTACTGTATCAAAGGGGACACTGCATAGCTCAGAGATGCACATTTCCTTTCCCACATTTCTTTTACAAAACTCACTGTACTTGTAAAAATCACGGTTAAAAAATTCAGAAAGTTATGTGAAGAAACAAGGTTAAATCAAAAGCTTACAAGAAAATCCTCTTGATGTGATTTGACTTCAAGGTTACATCCAGGTGGTCCAGACCATTCAACTCAATCCATGACTCTGAACATTTGAAAAGAAGCTGATCTGAATGGGAATGTGAATTTTCCATCTTTGACTACCCATATGATTTATTATAAAAGGTAATACACTTATTTCCAAGAACCTAATCCAAACCCCCATACATTCAAGAGAAACCTCACCACTGACTTCAAAATGAAACTTATCACATTACCAAAAAAAAGGAAAAAAAAGCGCCAAACAAAACAAAAACAGTCAAATGAATGATGGATTGTTCTGTCTCCACAGAGCACAAAGTGGCTCCAGTTTTAATGCTCACACTTCAACTTTAACTCCCAAACCTGTCTGTTTTGTGCGTGTTGTGGAATGTCATATTTATTAAACCATTTTTCATAGGTGCGCCAGAAGAATAAAGTAAAAACAAAACCTGAAAGGGTAGAGCTGTGCATAACTCTGATACCACAGTTTTGGTGCTGTGCTCAGGGCTTCATGCAGACTGGTGCAGGTACCAAGGGGAAAGCTCCCCCCGTGGTTTCAAACAGGGTTGGATTAGGCCCTTCACTTTGAGTATACCTTTGTCAAACAGCTCCCAAAATCAGACAGCTGAGCTCTTTCAGTGCTAATGTCTCCATCATCCAGAGATGTCTGACATGGGTGAACAATGCTTCCCTCTCTCACAGCCCCATGAGAGGGCTGGGAAAGAACTAAATGTGTCAGAAGAAAAACTTGCAGAGGTGCTTGTACATCCCAAACTAAGATGAAGCAAATCCCTTGCTGAATACAGCCGAGAGATCTGACCATCCACCTAAATGATCTTCCTAATATCTCTTTCTCTCAGTGACTACAACCTTTTATATCTTATACAGCTGGTGTACCAAATGCATAAACCTTTTTCTCCTGATAGCCCATTAGGTATGCTTTTGAGGTACAACCTCAGTAATGACTTCCTTCCAATATAATTGTATTTTAATTACACATTTAAGGCCAAATTCTTTCCTCATCTATCCTAGCTAAAACTCTTTGAAACCTTATTAATTTTAATTAAGAAGAAGTTGATGCAAAATTTCTAAGTGCTGAATTTTGCACTAAAAGTTTTAAATTCATTTAAACATGGTTTTAATTTCCATAAGCACTTCAATTCGTACTGTGCTCCCTCATTCAGTCTTTCAGAGCAGTAACATCAAATATAGGAAACATAAAGTTCTTTCCAACAGATGATGTTAGGACATAGCCCACCGTTAAATGCTTCCTCATTTGCCACAGCTACCTGAGGCATGTTTGCTACAGGCTCTAACAGGACTTCTCTCTTATTAACAACAGTAGCAGTGCTACTCCATAAAGGACGGTAGAAATTATTTTGAGTTCTTTTATTCAAGTATTTCTGTATTCTCAGTTCCAGAGCAGGGAGGGTGAGGCACAAGTTCTATGCAGGAAGCATTCAGAGATTACATCAGAGAGCACACAGCAAGGGAGTGACCTGCAGCTGGAGATAAACTGTCCCTTTCTAAGAGGTGGGACAGAGCTTATGTCATCAGCTAGTGCAGTACACACATCACTGCAGCAGCAGCCCTGCTGACGAATACCCCATTGTCCAGGCAAAGAAAGACAGCCTGTAAATGAAGCAGGCAAACTGCCATAAGGGGCTTGTGTCACTGAGAGCTCAAAAAACCAGTCTGAATTGTCCATGTGAGCATGGAATTGATACATGGAGTAGGTCGTGAAAGGCAGTGAGGAAACTTGGAAATAAAACTTTTTACTGTCTGAGCAAGGAGGACAAAAAGTGACACGAGAGAGTCACTTATTATTTTCAAAATAATACTTGGAACAATTGAACCATCGAGAAAGTTATTTGAAGACTTGACCTAGACAGAATAAGGCTGTAAAGGGACTCAGTAATTGTGCTCAAAACTGAGAATAAAAATAAGGGGCAATAGAGCCTTATGTTTCAGATGTAAGATCTCTGACACTATGCCTATTGTCTGAGACATTATGGAGCCCCTAATTAAAAACAAGGGTTGTTTGCGGGATTCCAGAGTGCAAGGAAAATTATTAAGAGAAACAGATCCAGCCCTGGAGAGATTAGCCAGCATCACAAAGAAGTCACTGCTGAATGCTCAAGCAGCTGTAACACATGTCACTGGGACTCCAAAGCTCTCAGGTGAGGAGAGGGTACTGCCCAGCAATGTCTCTGGCAATACAGTGAGCAGGGCGTGCTGTGTGGAGTACCATAGAGATGTCTCTTTGCAAAACCTTTACAGCCCAGAAGGGAGGCTCCAGCAATCACTGTAATCTACTGCCCACAATGGGCACTGCGGGATGTGCCTGTGCTATCTCCCAGCATTTTTTTAAGTAGCGACCCCGTAGCTCCAGCAAAGATCTGACATTGTTTATTCAACATACGCTGAACATGTGGGAGACAGGTTTGCCTGAGCGAAGTCACGGAGCATATCCTTTGGCCAAGCATGAGTGCCCACAGCAAATAGTGTCAGACAGGGAAAACAGTGAGCTGGCAGGGAGATAGCCCAGCCTGACCCCTGGGGTTAAAAAAACCAAAAAACAAAAAAACCTAAAAAAACAAACCACAGCAAAAAAGCCAAACAAACTGGACAGGTCGGTTTGCTTTAATAACAGAAACATGTACAGTCACCCCAGCTCATTGCCCCAGCTCCACAGAGACCAGCTGCCTTGGAGCAGCTTTCTAGGCTTTTGCAAGCCTTAAGTGTAAAGGGGTTGCAGGTTTTGATGTGGAGCAAAACAGTGGTGAAATCAGATTGGAGCCTGAATAATGAAAGAAAAAGTCTGCCTAAGAGAAATTCCCGGGAGCAAATTTTAAAAAAGCAGGAGACAGAGCTGGATCTGAATAAGTCAGAAGACATTACAGACATGTTGGACATGATATGCTGCATAAAATAGTGTGTGACAACAGGTCAGAAGCTTGGTGTGAGTTTGAGGGGTATATCTGTAATTGCCAGTTGTGCAAAAAGTCCCATGAAACACAGAGGAAAGTGAGATCATACACATCTGTCTGACCCTTCTATAGCCTCTCCACTTTCAGTTCAAATGCTTCCGGCCCCAGAGGGTTAGGGCAGTCTCTTACCAGTCTCTGTACCAGCTTCAGACGAATCCTCAATGTCAAAATCACATCACTTGTCATTTCTAGAGATGTATAGACAGGCACAGGAAATCTGGAAACTGTTGAAAAATCTGGAAAAATCCTGGAGATATTTTTTAATAAGTGGTGTCATTTATTGTTATAATCCATGACATTGGACAGATGTTATAAAACTTGTAGTGGTGAAAGAGCCTCAGCACCTGATGCCACCCTTAAGCCCAAGGGGAGAAGGTTACGAAGACATTTAGCTTGTAAGGTCTTGAACAGACAGGAGGCTTTGCTAGTTGAGACCTCCTGTCTGAGAGATCAGACAGCCACCTGTCACAGCAGATCACCACAGCCTCAAAAAATCATCCCTCTTCCTTAGGAAAGGGCAGCCACTGCAGTAACACTAGGATAGAACAGCACCTACACTGCAGATGTAGTAGGCAAGGCAAAGCCAAAACTGAAAGATCTCCCAGCATGAAACAGGAGAGCTGCAAACGAGCTGGGAGTGAACTGGAGGTCAAAACAGTGCAGGGTGTCCCAGGGGTCCTCCTGACTTAGCAGACTGTGAACAATTAAATAGGTATATTTTATTGTTGCTTGTTTCATGTTAATGTTGGCTGTTAGTTTGTGTTGTTTAGGTAATGAAGGTGTAACGAAAGGTAGGATGCTCTGGCACAAGGCAGCTGGACCTCTCTCTCTGGGATTGAGGAGTCCCTGTTATGCGTGTTACCTACTGAAACTATTTAAAGCTGTTCCCTGGCAGGCTCCTGGGCTGAGAAGCACGGCTACAGCATCAGCCACAGCTGTAATAGCTTTGGAAATAGCTTTTTTTCAATAAGGAGCTTATTTCACCTTTACAAGAAACGAAGGGCTTTTTGACTGTTGCTCAGCATGTGTTACCTGACACGCCAGGCATTCCCAGCAGCCATGAGGAGAGTCAGGCAGGCAGGAACTGCTCTGTGTACTGAGATGAACTTTCTCATTTTGCCAAGTCTTGGCAGACAGGTAAATTTTTTTAAGGTGATACTTGCTTCTAAATGCAACATATACCTCATTTTGCTGCAGTCTATCCACCTAGTGTGCTATGCTTGTGGGTACAAAGTTACCAGTACCAGCTAACGTGACTCAGAATTAACAAGAAAATATGTGTTTTTCTATCACAGAAAGAGTGGTTCACGTTAAAATATTTCAAAGTATTCTGCAGTTCTCTCAAAGTTTGAAGATCCCTGTTCCTTGCCTGCTTAAATGTAAAGAAGTGGAGCTTAATGATAGATTTCTACATAATTGAAAATGCTCAAACACAGGTAGAGAGACAAAGAGAGAGAAAGCTAACCGGAAGAAGTTTCTCAATATATGCAAGTCACTTGATTTTGGCCAACAGAACCTGGAGTTTCAAGCCATTTAGGCACTCTGGAAAATTCGTTCTGGATATGAAACAGGCTTACTTGGGCAGCTGCAGGTCTGTCAATTCTGTGCTGCATCCAACCCTCAGGAAAGAGAGGTCTCTCAGTGCCTGCAGTCAGTGTCCTTGGCAGCTTCCAGTCTTCATCTCCTTCCAACAGTAAATAAAAGCGTAATGAAACAAGAGCAGCCAATGCCAACGCCCAAAAGCTGATGTTGGAACGAGAAGCAAGCATGAGACCAGAGAAGCACAAGCAACATCTCCCCTCTCCTCCAAGTACTTTACAGCCTTTGCAGCCCAGACACATCCTGAGCCAGACTGGTTTTCTGTGTATTCAGTAGCTCTCAGGGGGTTTTCTCGTCCATGAATTCATTCAACCTTCTCTCAAGGCTGCACTGGTGATCAATGTTTTCTACGCAGCCAGTCACACTAAGGAAAAAGAGAATCAATATTCACTTTGGTCATGGCCTTTCCAATACTCGGCCATTCCCTTATGTGTCCTTGTGTTAACAACCCCATGTGAGGGATAGGAATGAGATCAGCAGCTGCCAGCAGGGTCCTGTGCCATAGATATTTCCAGATAATATTTTTTCTCTCTCTCTCTTAAGGACATGGAGTGCAGCTGACACTCCTGTCCTGTTATTACACCTTTTTCTGTACATATAATGCATCTGGCAAATACACATTAAAGTAAATGCGTAAGGAATAAATAAGGAAAAAAATCTCACAAATGAAACCAAAAAGCCAAATCAACACGAAAAGTGTGTTGCTGAGATTTTGTGCTATGAACATATATGTATGCTACTGTTTAGTAATATGCAGAAATTACAGATATGGCTTGAGCATTTTAAGGCTTTATGCTAGTTTCTCCCTCTGCAAAATAAAATTCTCAGTGGAGGAAGCATGACATGACAGAACTAAGAATTGTGATGATGGTGGTCATTATTATTGGCATTTTTCCTTTCATATTTTAATTTGACAGAATTAGCTAAACAGCTTTCCTAAAAGAATGAATCTGAACTTAATTCAGTTGAGATACTGAGTGAAAGAATTAATTGTTTTCTTCATTTTCTCTAGTAAAGAAAGGTCTCTGCATTACTTGTACATGCCATCAAATTAAAACGGTGTGAAGAAGTACCAGTTACTCAGCAATGAAATGTTATGGAGTAAATGGGAGGCAACTGTTAAAAATCCTCATCTGAGCAGCCAAGGAGAAAATTCCTTCATCACATATGCAGGTGACATAATCCTGGGAACACCCTTCCCACAGGTGTTGGCCTTCTTTGCAGATTCCCCAAGGAGAAATCTGCACATCATTTGCCAACATGGCTGTAGATTTATGTCTTTGTTTTCTTAGAAATATGAAACTTTGTATATTCATTGATTTTAAGTCTAGAATTAAACAATTACAATCAAGTAAGAGTACATTAGTCCTTATAAGCTTGCCACGAACTTCTAAGTTCTTCCCTCAAGTTCATATTTTCTGGCTGAACCGAAGCATGTCGTCTGCAATTAATAAAAAAAAAAAAATAAAGCATTGGTTTAAAGACATCAGGTATTAGAAAACTGTCAGACTCTGATTCCTGGTCTGAGTTGTCTGGTGGTTTCCATCATGTGGTTCATCAGTCCCTGGGCATCTGTGAACTACCCCATATTTGATCATGAAATGTGATTGAGGAAATTAAGTTCTTGGTCTCTACATAGTAATTGACCTGCGTAAAATGTCCTTGAAAACTTATATTTCCACTGAAAGAAGCTGAAGAATCTATAAATTCAAAAAATTACTTACCTAGTGTCTAAAATACCAGCACTAGACCCTTCAGAGAATGATGCAAGCAGTCTCATACTCTGCAATTATAAAGTAATGTGTCAGAAGGGGATATTATTCCTATCCCAACCTTTCACGAAGCCTGTTTATGCCCTGAAGCACAAGTTTATTTCACTTACTTTTTGAGACAATTTCTATTCCATGCTGTAACTCAGGGTGGCTTGTTGGAAAACACTAGATTAGTGGTCGGTTTTCTAAACACCAGCACAGCATCTGACATCCCTTTCTTCAGCATTATCCTTCAATAAATTACATAAATATACTGTATCATAGATACAGCAATTACTGTATGTCAAAAGAAGTAAAAATTAGCCCAGTCCTCATACTGATATCCCAGTCTTACCTGGAGAGGCAAATATGGGATGTGTCATGGTGGAAGCTGCCTCCAAAGGTACTAGGGACAAGAGGCTGAGTTGTGAGACACTTTCACTTCCACCTTGGTGGGACTGTTACCAGACACCTGTCTGGAGACCTCAGCAACTTTCCTATTCCTTCTTTATCTGAAGTCTGGTCACTTTTGGTCTCAATCCTTGTACTGGCATTTTTCACTGTTGTGAAAAACACCTCATCCTCCTCATGTCCTCAGTCTTGACAACATTAATAGGCATGCTGATGAGGAAGGCACGGGCCCAGACCTAGCCTTTGGGAAGGGAAAAAAAAATTAGAAATTAAACAGATTTTGAAGTAGGAAGCACTTTTCCCATGTTGAAGAGACACAACAGTTCCAAAATGAGAAGGCATATTTTAGTGATTAGTTGCAGTTAATCCTAAGAATGCTTTAGGCTTTGTAATAAGTCATACACAATATCCTCTCCTCCTTGGAGAAGTGAGATGTGGGGTTTCAGAGTGGAAGAACAAAAGCTTTACAAATGAGGTATTTGCAATAATTCCTCCACAGAAGCTATCTACACTACATAATACTTCCCCCTAAAACAAAAACCTGCCTTGAATAAAAAGAAGAAAATGACATTAGGAGAGACAAGGCATATCTAAAAACTGCATGTAAATAGAAGTTCATTAGGGGAGTATGCAAAGAAGCTTTTGGAAGGTAATTTTGCTACTAACTAGTTTTCCCAAAATGAAGTAAGGCTTTCAAAAGCATCAATGCTCTAAGTATTTCAAATTATCTACTCTACCTGATACTATCTCTTCTCACAGAGATTACAAAGCACTTAAATTTTTACCCACTTTGTTACAGAAATCCCCAAGGAAGGTTTCAATCCATTTGCAAGCACTGCTATGAGAAGATAGCAGATGTTTTCAAAACTTCCTCCAGCACATCTTGAGTTAAATCCTTTTTACAATATTGCCTCTGTATCATAAAGTTCTTTGTTCAGAAACTTACCACTGAGTCATGCAAAAAAACCCCACTGGACCAAAACTCAGTCTACAAAGGTCCAGCCAAGAAACAATATTTCCTGGCTCTTTGTACTTTTCTTTTTTCTAGCACCGAAATAGAAAAAGATTTTAAGTGCTCTACCGTTTCCAAGCATGAATGTGCTCCTATTACTCATAAAATTACTTTAATTTTAAAGTGAAATGGTGGGGGCTTATAGCTGAGATTGTTGATGATGTTTCAAGCGCCAGGCAAGCTCCGCCATGCTGGCGGTCAGAGATGGCCCAGCCATCGTTCAGAGGCATACACATCCCTCTATGACACCTCCCATTTTGTAGCAGTCCAAACACTCACTTTTATCTAGGTAAGCCCCCCTCTGGCACCCATAGGGGCATGTTATAGCAAAGGGTAATTAAGGAAGGTATTGTTCAGTTTCTGTCTCTCCCCACAGCAAGCGAGACCCACATTTTGGAGCGTGGAAATATGTACTTTGTAGGGACACAAAAGGGCTGGGACATCTTATCCCTCTCACAGTCCAGGTCAGCACTTAGCAGTGTAACTGTGTTTTATTCTGGCTTGCCACAGAGACACACCAGAATTCATCCACTTGCAGAATTTTCCAGCAAGATTGATCCTCATGGGAGCTAAAAGGGTTATGGATCAGGGCAGATGAGAGCTGGCCCAGCTTCAATCAAAACCATTTCTTGCTATGGTTTTGTACTGACATACAAGGGTTTTTCCTGCATTCTGCTTTGTGTGCTGAAGTTAGAACAACTCCAAATAAGAAAAAACTTAAAAAAAATAAATAAATAAATAAAGTAAAAAAAAAAAAAAAGAAAGAAAGAAAAAGAAGAAGAAGATAAAGAGGAGGAAACCTGTGTGGAAAAAAAAGGCCAAAGAATGAATCCTCCTATAAGCTCCTTTACAAGCACTGCTGCCTGCTGTGCTTTGAACACAAAGGTGAAAATCCTCTGGTAAAAATCCAGGCATTCTATGGACCAGAAGAGCTTTGCCTTTGGCTTTTGGTGTACCTAAGCTCCCAGGCAAGGTCACTACTTTGCTGTCTTACAGGCTCTGCAGCTTATTCATGCCTGCAAAGCTCCTCTGGGCCACAGCTGCTGCGTGAGGAACCCATGTGCCATCTTGAGCAGAGCGGGAGGAAAGGGACAGCAGAGAAGTTGACAGAAAATGATCTAGTGGAAGGTGTCCCTGCCCATGGCAGGGGGGTTGGAACAAGATGATCTGTAAAGTCCCTTCCAAGCCCAGACCTTCTATCATTCTATGAAAATACACCATTGCGGTAAAGTGGTCAAATGTCTGTATTATTGTGTTTGTCTGCTTCCTCTCCCAGTTGTATCTTGCTGCCTGCATGAATACATGGCTACATCAAGACTATCTGTGAAACTGATCAACAGCAGACCAGTAGAAAAGTTGACACAATTAGGGCTTCCTGGTGGCCTACCTTCAATGCAGCTGGCAGACATCTGAGAGAAAGTTGCTTACCAGCTGCTCTGGGGTTGGTACATGAACGAGTCTCTCAACTCAAAGCATGGCCTCAGGAAAGACCAGGAGCTTCTGAAAATGGCTGGGTTGTATTAATAACTGAGGGAATCACAGAGCTAGAGGGACAAATACACAAATCCCTTAAGATATGGCATCTATTCGACCTCTCACAGAAATGGTGTTGCACTCAGAGAGAAAGCAAAACATTTTTGGTGTTCTTCCAGCATTGCCTCTTGCATTTACTCCAGTACGCTATATTTGGTATGGTTGTTTCTGTAGGAGAGCTACTCTCTAACAACTGTCATCGCGTAGAAGCAGAAAATCTCCTGGGAGTTTAAGGCAGCTTTTATTTAGACCCACATTTTGTTATGATACCAAGTTTAGCCTCAGCTATGCTGCATACTGAAATCCCAGTGTCTGCGGCTGCTCACAGGATAAAGGGCCACATTTCTTTGGTTTCACTGCATTTCACAGTATCGCTGCCCGTGCAAAACTACTCCTGTTAATCCAGATTTTTGAGTGTCACTCAGATGTCTGGAGATGGAGAGAGAGTCTGGTGGCAAAGACAGCATGCAGTGTACACTGATGGGGACAAGTAACAACTACATAGTTGTCAGCTCAGAGCAAGTGATACTCGTCTTGCAGGTTTGATATTTGGGACAGAAGGCTGGAAGATCGATTTAAATTCTTTGATGTGCCATATCTTGCCGGTAAAGGTTTAAATGCTATTTCTGGCTGCCACATTGATTTTCATTACCATGGATCCCCTTTTTGAGGTGAAGACTTTCTCTCAAAGGAGTTTCCTAAATGTTTTTAGCTTGGGATGATGTTGTATTTTAAATTACAACACAAATACAAGTACATACATATGCACCAACTCATATTATCCGTAGGAGATCTGTGTATGGTACTGTGCAATTTTCGTTTTCCATCACAGAAGCATTTAAATTATGGATTTACTTAAAAAAAGAAAAAAAAGAAAGCAAAACATAATTCATCCAACATGCAGGTACAACACCCTGTCCTGTTTGCTCCTCTTCCATTCATCTGGAGATCCAGAGATATTAAGTGACACAAGACCTTTGAATCTGCCTCCTCAGAAACTTTGACAGTTCAGAACATGGTGCGTTCTCCATTATTATTCCAAAATATCAGCTTGCACACTCCAAAAGTATTTAAGAAATACTGATTTAATTGTACTCCCCCACATTTTTGCAACTGCCATCTTTTACTGTGAGTGTTAATATGCTGAGTGGGACAGTGGTGCTGCTTTGTTGCTGTAAAGAAAAGTCTTTCTCCTTTTGAATTCCAGGAATGGCTTCTTTCTGCTGTTTTAGCTGTTTCACATAACAATCCTTGCAATAAGAGAATTTGGCTCATCATGTAGATTTGTGTTCTTTATAACTGTAGAATAATAGCAGACAGTTTTCCCCCTGTGTCAGTGCTTTTATTCCAGTCAAGGTTGATAAAATATTTCTTGAAGAGAAACTTACAACTCAGCCTGCGTAAGAAACTGTGCTGCTGATGAGCACAAGTGTGGGGGTGATATTCTGGTGTAGTGCAGTCTCATCCCTGTACAAAGCCGCCCTCATGCAAACCTGGCCTAAGCTGGCACAGCCTAGGCAGGGGCTCTCCTGAAGCACAGGTCATCATACAGGCGTGTAGAATCCTCCTCTGCCTCCACTGCAGGGACAGAGGGAGGTGATGGCTTGTCCAGAGCAAAACAACACATCCCATCAGTAAACCCCTCAGCGGTGGTTGGGGTCAGATCTGTGAATTCATGTCAGTGCTGTGTGTCAGAGCAAGCCTGCAGGATGAGTCTGCTCTAATGGTGCTGGAGTGGTTTCAAAACTGGCCATTAAACCTCTCCTTCATGAGAATAAATAAGCGTATCTGCATGCACCCATGTACACATACACACACACTTTTTAGGCCTTGCCAGTACTTGGGGTTTGGGTGGTGGTGCTTGATAGGAGACCAGTGAAAGTTCTTACGGCTGAGATGAAAACCATGCATGATGTTACCTCTGGAAGAGCTGTTTGGAGAAGCCTGAGTGTTCCCAGAATAGCACAGTTTCTCTAACACATCTACAAGCAATGCATCAAGCTCCAAAGAACTTCTTTTTTTAGGCTTGGCTCTAAGGAGTTGGAGGTGGGGACAAGCAGTGGAAGGTTGACAATGACAAGAAGGCATTTGTTTGAAGGAAAATAATAAATCTACTAAACTCTTAAAGACTTACAGAATAAAGTCTTGACAATCCCATCACTCTTCCCACATATAATAATGCCAGGATTCTGGTGTCTTTAGGAATAAAGAAACAGCACAGTGCTTAAGATTACAACATGGCATTTTGCAACATTTAATTATAATAAATACAACCTTATCTGGAAATATATTAAATAAATGTGGGGTTTTTTTCTTTTCTAGGCTGAATAATAGCAGTTGTTACTGCCTAATCATATACACCAGACACATGGTAGCACATGTAGGTCCTGAAAGTGTAAAAACACCACTGTATTTTTGAGGTAATTGCATTGTAATTTTAAGAAATGTCCTGAACTCTTAGTATCCCATAGAATACATATTGTTTTGTATATTCACAGACATCTAATGCCCTTGGGCTGGTTTTTGTCAGGGATTATCTGGATAGTTGTTTTTCACAGCTCCCTGAAGGCTTCATGGACCTTCATAGACGGTCTGGTGAGTTCAGTTCAGCATGTCCCAGTTCCTCTATGGGAAGAAAGGAAAGATTTGTTGTAAGACTCAGACATTTAGTTTTCCTAGGCATCAGGTGCTTCCCTACCCTCTAGACAGCTCAGTTCCCTGGCCTACAGCTCTGAGTTTCCCTGCTACCTTGGTCATGTGCAGAATGTACAATCCAATTACTTCTTCCATGTG